AACCAAGTATGCAAGGGCATTAAAGGATAAAAACAGAAAGACTACAAACAGAAGAAAAATGGAAAAGAGCTTCAAAGATTACAGTAAAAAATCTTCACTCCCTAGAACGGTGGAACCATCACACTTGGACTGTGATGTCAGAGTCCCTTAAAGGGAAGTGGAAATAGCACTAAAGAGAACAAAGATGGAAAAAGAAGCCAAATTAGACCAGGTATATACAGAGATCTGTCCTGAAGACCACACAGTTGCAAGGGTGTTAAGGGATCAATATGCAAGGTATTGAAGGAGGAAAAGATACCAAAGGCATAGGAAAAATCTTAATATCCAAAAAAGGTGACCTAAGAAAATATCAATAACTACCAATCTATATGGCTACTCTGCTATCTATTAAAAAAAAACAACAACTTTAAAGTCATCTCTGAACTAATTGAGGTTGTCTTTGATGAGAGTATTAGTAGGGAACAAGCAAGCTTTCACAACTGATATTCAACAATGGGCCATGTCTTTATCATTCTGTAATGGAAAGATGTAGCTAATAGGAAAAAGCATTTGATCTGATAAACAAAAATGATACCATTATTATATTCCTTGCCTTCTCAAGGGGTGGGGAAAGGAGAGAATTTTAAAGAATTTAAAAATTTTTACACATGAAAGTTTGTTTTGTTTTTGCTAGGCAGTGGGGTTAAGTGACTTGCCCAGGGTCACACAGCTAGTAAGTTTTATGTGTCTGAGGCTGGATTTGAACTCAGGTCCTCCTGACTTCAGGGCTGGTGCTCTATCCACTGTGCCACCTCGCTGCCCCATTTTTTTGTTTGTTTTGCACACATGAAAGTTAAAAAAAATTTCCATGAAACTGAGAAATATTTAATGAAATAAGGATATATTTTTTTAAAAAAAGAAAAAAAATTAAATCATACCATAAAGTCTCTTTTTCAACAAAGTAAGCTATAACAACAGAAGAAACCCTCTTTAGTGACCCTTTGTTCATGACTATCAGGGGAGGCATAAAATAGGAAAATATATACTCAATAAGTGTTTTGTCAGTGTGATGGAGGAGATTCAGCTCAAGATCCAAGTTGAAGAGGGTCTCTATAGATTGTAAAATCCTATAGATGTTCCTATTTTCAGATAGTGGATAGTTTGCATCAAGCCTGGAACATTGTAGAGCCTCCTGGAAGAGATCCAGAACAACTGGAGTTTAACCTGACCTGTCCACAAAGACCAAATGGATGAAGAATGTCTGTTGCTCAAATTATGATATGCATTTGGATGAACAACCTATAGAGTTTGTTCATCAGCATCTAGCATGGACAGTAAGTTGGTCTCAAAGTTGAATGGGAAGAAGAGAATATGTTAGATTAGATTGCTTTTGAGACATTTCAGAACTCCTGTAATGACTCCATTATTCTCACTAACAAAAGTCCATCTTCTTTCTACCAGTGTTGCTATATGGCAGTGAGACTTGGAATGCAATGGTCTCTGAAGAATTAAAAATTAATATCCCATAGTGGGCCACAGAGAAGCACATAGTGGTATGATCAAGCTGCAGTGTGTTCCAATGAGGAGCTTTAAAGAATAGAAGTAAAGCTTGTCATTTAAGAAATGTACAATCAGATGGTGAGGGAGAGGAATGGCAATTGGTGGACAGCTCCTGTGACCCATCGCTTCATAATGTCAGGAGAAATGGAAGAAAAACTATATATTAAGTAAACCCTCTGTGGTGAACTTATGGAAGGATGTGGTCAAGAATCACATAGAATAAGCAGGCATGCGTGGATGAGTATGTGCATAATCGGAGGGAACTTCTAAATCAGAGAAATCACAGATCTGTCTGAGTATTAATAAGCTGAAGAAAATCCAGAGGAGGGCAACCAGGATGATAAAGGACTTTGAGTCTATGACATAAAGAATTGTTGAAGGAACTGGAGATATTTAGCCTGGAGAATATAAGACTTATGGAGGATATGATAGGTATCTTCAAATATTGGAAGGGCTGCCATGTGAATAACAGATTAAACTTACTCTGTTTTGGCTGTATTTGAAACAGAGCCAAAACAGGGCAAGCAGTGGGTAGGAGTAACAAATGATTTGTCAGGAAAAGCTTGATATCAGGAAAATTTTCCTAACAAAGCTGTCCAAAATAAAGTGGGTTTCCTTGGAAGGCAGTTGTTTCTCTTTGGAGGTCTTAAAGAAGAGTAGCTAGATGACTACTTGTCAGGTACTCTATTGAAACCTAGTACACAATCTCAAGACAGTTTAATTTTGAGCACCTAAGACATGCTATTACAATTAAACACAAACACAATTTTGAATACCAAGCTAGTGTTCATTAAGAGCTTTTCCTACCACCAAAACTTAGAGAATGTGTTTTCCACATATGCTCACCCCTCCCCTACAGCCCCAAAATATATTTTCTTATACCGTCTGAATAAGATTTTTTTGATGTTTAAAAATGTATTTTAAAAACAAAAAGCTTCTTAACTGGTCACTTCAGACAAAAACTTCACTTGGCAGATGCTCAAGACGTTCCAAATACCTCTACCAGCTAAAATAAAACGCAGTTTACTCATTGTCTTGTGATTCAGAGAAAACCAGTAATCCGAATCTAGCTGAATTCAGAAGCTGATTCATCTTCTCTACAACAAAGAATTAAAGTGCATATGCAACTGATTGTTTTCACACATTGCTTTTAGTAAATCTGACTGCTGTAATTCACCATAGCTGGAGGCCAGGTTATGTTGAAGTCTCAAATCAGGAAATGTGACTGCAAGATTGTGCTGCTATGCTTTATATTACTGCCTTATCGTCTAAAAGCTGAGGGTAAGACTTGAAAGTGCATTTATTTCATGCTAAGTATTGTTCACAGGACTGAAGGACTTATCCTTCCCAAACTCATCAGCCTTGTTCCAATTTTTACTCATATGTTGGCTTGTGACAGCTTAGCTTCAGTTTACAAGTAGACAATCGGCACACTACTCAGTGTGTATTTCAGTGGCCAATGGCAACAAAATGTTAAATAAGTATTTGTGAATTGCTATTTTTAATAAAGTATCTGTTTTAAATTATCCTCTGAATATGTTTTCTTCTTTGAATCTAGCAGATCTTGTCTATTTAAAAATATATGGTGTGATCTACCAATGCAAGGCTGAATTTTGGTAAAATATGTTTATAAAATTCTAAAATTAACTTTTGCACAAACTATACTGTTTACTCCCCTGAAAGAAAGCATTGTGTTCAGCCTTTTAACACATTTCAATGTTATGAGTCCTTAGAAACTAAATGGCATTAGGTAACAAATATACATTGAAAAATTGTACCAAAAAAATGGAACTTTTAGTAATTTATTTTTAAATTACTCAATTTTTACACCATTAGTTTTTAAAAATATTTGAGAAAAAAGGGATGCTCATGTTAGCAGTGTCAATTGGGTAGAGAGAGTAGACTATTATATAATACCACAGTATGTGACAAAGACCAAAAGCAAAATTTACCAAAAACATGTTAAATGTTTTTCTTGGAAAGTTCCTGAGTCTAAGTCAAACAAAATCTGTTTCCTGTGATTGGTGGCAGATTCAGGAGACTGACCTTTTCATTCACTTTTGTTTTGTCTTTTGCAAAAGATATGGGTCCCAGGTACCTCAGCTTGGGTTTATCTAACATATCCTTTGTTTACATTTTCTACATATATAGAAATTTTAACCTTAAAGGGCCTCTTACAATCCATCTAGTCCCATTCCCCTCATTTTACAGATAAGGAAACTAAGGCTCAAAGAATAACAATTGACGTTACACAACTAGTTAGGGGTGTTGCTTTTATTCTAAGAGCAACAGAAAAATCAGTGGTTATTTTGAAATAAAGAGCTTCACAGTAAATAAAAATAAGATGATTGTGACTTGTACTAGAAAAGTTTTTGGTGTGGATTGTTTCAGTAACCATTCTAAGTAGCAGAATTGGTTGTAAGCATCAGTTTTGGGGTAGCTAGGTGCCACAGTGGATAGAGCACCCATCCTGGAGTCAGAAGGACCTGAATTCAAATCTGGACTCAGATTGTTAGAAGCTGTATGACTGGGGCAAGTCACTTAACCCCGATTGCCTCAAAAAAAAAAAAAAAGTAACTTTTAAACACTACCATCAAGAGGCAATTAATGTTCCGAAGTCCTATAGTTTTGACAACTTGATTAAATGTTGAAGTTCAACATGCTAAACATAACTGAATCCAAACAATAAAATCCTTATCAATAATAATAAATAAAACCCTTATCAATAATACCAAATCTAAGGAAAGAGACGTAATAGCAAGGATTTTGATTTAACCATAGTTATTTGAGAAGCATTCAGGTGTAGAGGGATCTGGGTTCCAATTCTAGCTCTGCCCAAGTAAACTTGAACAAATCAATTTACATCTTTAGTTTAGGAGCCTTCAAACTTAATTCTACCAAGATTATAGGGACCAAACAATGGCCATCTCGCCCACTGTAGTTTGCTTTATTTGGTTCGCCAGCCATCCTGTACAGAAACTTGTTAGCATTAGAGGACTTGGAAGGGGCAACATAAATGTAAGGGTCCCCGTACCCCTGGAACTGCGCTTAAGCGAAGGCATAGGATACGGCCTTCACCCTGTCCGAGGATAAAAAGGTGGCGGGATGGGCTGGAGCTCTCAGGAATAGCTGGGGTCCCTATACGGCTACAGGGCCGCGGAGAGCCGTTCACTGGCTCTCAGCGCTGTCTGGGCACAGACGGACGACAGGGTTCCGCGCCCCGGCTCAGACGATGCGCAGACAGCCCGCGTCCCGGCACAGACAGACTGGTTGGGCTCTTTTCCCCTCGGCCCTTTGCTCTCTGGACTCGTTTTCCGGCGCGGTGCACCTAAACCTGCGCCGCCTCAGGGCAGGACGTACATCCCCACTGCGCGCTCGGACTGCCAGACTGGAGCTTGCTTGTTGTTACGTCCCTATGGAGATGGGGTTGTGCTCCCATCCCCTTTTTCCAGTGAGTTGCGAACCAGAAGCTGTGGAAGAAGGCAGCGAAGGCAGCTTCCTCCGGAAACTCCCTTCACTTTTCTCGCTTCCTTTCCTACCTCTCCAGAGGTAAAATATATATGGGACATGGGCGATACATCTCTTATTTGGGTACTCTTACATAGCATAGTTCCCCGCCTCCCCTCTTCTCTTCCCACCCCCATCCCCCACCCCACCCCCCAATCTCCCCGGTCGCAAGACAGGAGAAAGTGCCTTGGCACCAAGGTGGAGAGAGGAGACTGCAGGACTCAGACCGGGAAACAAATTCCCGTCAGTGACTTGATGCTTTCCTAGGATCATAGATTTAGAGGTAGATGAGGACAGAGAGGTCATCTAGTCAGTGTGGAATAGGGGAAAGAGCACAGGATTTGGAATAAAAGGGTCTGGGGTCAAATATTGCCATAGCCACAACCTGGATGACCTTGAGCAAATCCCTTTACCTTGCTGGCCTTCTGGACTAGATGACCTCTGAGAACCTTTCTAGTTCTAAATCTGTGATTCTAGGCCAGTCTTTTCTTTTTACAGATGAGGGAACTGAGGTCCATAGAGACTGAGTGACTTACCCAATGTCACCCAGGGAATAAGTGACAGAGGAGAAATTTGAACCCAGGTCATCTGATGGACAATTTGGAAATTTGTTTTGCTTGACTAACATACACACACTCATATATGTGTTACAAGGTTGTTTTTTTCTGAAGTGGGAGAGAAAATAAGTGCTTGTTAATTGACAAATTAATAAAAATAAATCCACTATCTAAAGTAAAAAAAAAAATTGACAAAAGATATAGGCTTTAAGATTTAACAAAGTGCTTTCCTCATAACAGCTCTGGGATGTAAGTAGTAGTGTGTTATAATCCTCCTTATTTTACAGAGGAGGAGAAAGGTTTTAAGAAGTGAAAACATTAACTAGCAGAAGCAGGATTCAAAGCCCAAGACCCCTGAAACCAAATACAATGCTTTTTCCACACATGATACTGTAGTTTGCTTATCAGCCCCAACTCCCAGTGGATGGAAAGGGGAAAGAAATCTCATCGATTTTTTTTTTTTATAGAGCTCCTGGCTTATACTAACGGCATCATCTTTCCTCTACTCCCCTGACTTCCATCCCATTACTTGCTGTGATTTTAAAAGGGTATACATGGGGTGACAGAAGTGTCCAATGCTATTATAGCTGGTCAAGTGAATATAACAACATCCTTACAGTTAGAATGCTGAAGTCTCATGAGTTCCAGCTTTTTTGAAAAGTAGATATAACTAGAGTCACCTTTTTCAGCATGGAGTCTTTAAAAAATAATATTAAAAACTGTCATTTATCTAGTAAAATGCTTAAACCCCCTTTGATTTTTTAAAACAATCATAAAAATGTTTTAAAGTTTGCATAGCTCAATGTAACTTACCTCATTTTATCATCAGAAAAAATGATATGACATAGATGCAATATTATCAGCATTATGATGAATAAACTGGAACACAAAGAAATTTAAGTAATTTATCCATGGTCATACAGCTAATGCCAAAGTTGAGATTTGAACCTAGGTGTTCCTGACTCCAAGTCTGGCTATAGTTTTAGTAGAGCCACTAAAGCTTTCTGTTCAGAGCAGTGACATTGCAAGAGCTTTGTTTAAAAAAAAAAGTTATTTAGGCAGTGGTGTGAAGGGGGATTGACGAGAGGAGAGAATGGAGGTTAGAATCCAGGTGAGTGATAACCAAGACCTGTTTTAGTATGATTCTAGTGAGAATAGAGGAGAGGGAATGGGTGGCAGCTTACTAGTAGAATCAGCAAGACTTGGCAACTGGTTGGATGGAAGAAAGGAAAGAGAGGAAGAATTCAAGATAATCCCAAATTGGGAAGATTGGGTGAATGGTGACACCACACACTGAAATAGTAAAGTCAAGGGGAGCATATTTTAGACATTTTGAATTTGAGGTGGCAATGAAACTTAGAGATGGAGATGTTTGGAAAGCCCGTAGAGATAAGATCTGAAATCTGAAAGAGAATTCAGATTGGAAATGAAGATTTGGGAGTCATCTGCATAGAGATGATAGTGGAAGCCATGGGAGTAGATGAAATAGTCAAGGGATAAAGTGTCAAGAGGGAGAAGAGAGTCAAGAATGGGTCTTGACAATGACCTGTATTAAGTGGTTGGGAAGGAGATAGCTAGGGAAGGAGAAAGAGGAATGGTTAGAGAGGAAAGATAAGAATCAGGAGAGTATGGAGCCTCTTAAACTTAGGAAGAAGATAAGATTTAGTAAGCACATATTTAGTTTAAGTAAATAATATTTAGTAAGTGACAAGTCTGTCAAAAGCTAATGAGAAATCAAGGAAAATTAGAACTTTTCAGAAAGTCCATTTGGGGATAATGATTAGAAAGTCACTGGCAATGAGATGACAGTGAGTAGTGAGAAAGTGGAAGTATTTGGAGTAGAGAACTTTTTCAAGAAGTTTAGCAGTAAAGGGGAGTTAGAGAAATGGGAGAGTAACTGATAAGAGAAGAATAAAGAGAAAGCTTTTATTTATGAATGGAAAGACTTGAGCTTGTTTGTAAAAAGAAAGGAATGAGCCAGTGGTGAGGGAGCAAGAGATTCAATCAGCAAGCATTTATCAGGTGCCTACTACATACATGTTACACAGTGCACTGTGAGCTGGGGATACCAATACAATATACATGAAAGAAAATGGAGAGAGGAATGGAGGAAAATAGCTTTGGAGGAGACGACTGGAGAAAAGGACTCAATAACATAGACCCTCCTTATGGCTTGCTTGTACATAGTTGTTTGCATATTGTCTCCCCTATTAGACTGTGAGCTCCTTGAGTTAAGGGACTGACTGCTCTTTTTGGTCTATGTTATGTTTATTGGCTGACTGACTGACTAGAGAGAAAGAGAGAGTGAGTGATGCTGCTGCTAAGAAATGGAGGAGGGAACTGAGGGAGTGCATGTGAGATGCTCTTAATTTTTTTTTTTAGCAAAGTAAGAAATTACACCACCTGTTTTAAGTGTGGGGCACAAAAAAGATCTGTGGTAGGTGCAAAGGAGGGAAGTACTGTGGGGGATGAGATAGGAAGTCGGGGGTAGAGGAGCATGATCATTGAGCATCAGCAAGGTGAGTTCACAGTGAGTGAAGTCAACTGTTTCGTTTTTCTTACTGTCTGTGTTCAGCAATCCTGGAGCATAAGCAGAGAAATCAGATGGTGGGGATTACCTAGGGATAATGAATAGCTGACCACCACATCATACACATGATCTTTTCTCACCCTCACACCCAAAACCTACTTCTACTACAGGACAAGGAGAGAATTCACCAAACTATTCCCTTCTCTTTTCTCTCATGTGACAGACCCAGAGTGTCTCTTTCTAGGGTTTAAATACCTAGACTCAATGTTTAAGCTGAGATGACAGTAAGTATAAATTCAAATTGCTCTTGAGATCAACACTTTATTGTATTAGTGCCTTACACATGTATCTCACAAATATTAATTGATTAAAGTTATTGTTAGCAGCAAGATTTGGCATACGCAACATTTAGCAAGTTGTCAGAGTTTTAAAATCCTTATTGAAAGAGCTGCCAAAAGGGAGGTTTTTATCTTTTATTAATTTCTGAGCCACTTTCTTATAAGCACCTGATTTTTAAAATGGATATATGCAAGCATATCTGTGTCACTTTTGAATTCCACATTTTATTTATGAGGCTTACAAATTGTCTAAGAAGAAAATCTTTTTTTTTCTATTTTAAATGATTAAGCTACAGTAGGTAAGTCAGATCAATTCAAAGACATTTAGCAAAAACCTGTAGTGACACTGACCTCCTGGCTGATTCACAAAGAAGAAACTCTGTCTCTCTGTTCTAGGCATTCCCTCTGGCTGTCACCCACACCTGGAATGCTCTCCTTTCTCCACTTTGATTACTGACCTTCCTGGCTTTCTTTAAGTCCCATCTAAAATCCCTTTCCCAGTTCCTCTTAATTCTAGTGCATTCCCTCTGTTAATTATTTCCTTTTTATCCTGTATATAACCTGCTTTGTATATATTTGTTTATATGTTGTCTCCCCCATTAGATTGTAAGCTCCTTGAGATTAGGGACTGCCTTTTGCCTCTTTTTGTACCCCAGAACTTAGCACAGTGCCTGGCACATAGTAAAGTAGGTACTTATAAATGTATATTGATTGATTGCTAGGCTCTGAGGATATAAATAAAATTAATACAATCCCTGCCTCCATTGTAATAAAAGTGTCCCCAAAATATGCTTCAGTGAAGCTAAGATCTCATCAAAGTGGTTTCCCCTCCAAAGGTGGAGATCACAACTCATCTGTACTTCATCCTGTTTCATTTTTGTCCATTCTCTCCATAAATCCGATCTAGGAGGCCCAGTGTGCTGGAGACCTTTCTCTAGGTCTTCATTAAGGGCTGAGTCAGCTTTGGCAATCTCTTGACTGCATTTTTGGCTGCACTCATATCTGACTGTGCCATAAGGGAAAAGGTAGAAGGAAGGGAAGGAGGGAGGGAGGAAAGAAAAAAGGAAGGAAAGAAATAAGCATTTATTAAATACTTACTATATGTCAGTCACCATGCTAAGCACTTTACAAATATACCTCATTTGAACCTAACAACCCTGGGAGGTAGGTGTTATTATTATCCTCATTTTACATCTGATGAAACTGAGGTAGACAGCGGTTGCCCAGGGTCACACAGCTAGGAAGTATCTGAGGCCAGATTGAAACTCAAGTCTCCCCAACTCCAGGTATAGCATTCTATCCACTATGCCACCTACCTCCTAAGGCTCAGGCAATAATGGGCCACTGAGAAGTAGGCTGCTGTCTTTGACCCGGTGTTGCAGCCAGCCTAGCATTGGTGCCAAATGAGCTTTGAGGAGTAACATTGGGAGTCCAGCCCATAGGAAGGAATCATCCATCAATGATGTCACCTCTGGTGGAACCAATACTATAAATTTAGCTTAGTTTTGAGCCTATTATCCCAGAGATCAGGTGATGTAGGGAAGAGTATACCTTCAAAGTATTGGGGAGAAATGTTAGAACATTTGCTCTTAATGTATCTTTGAAGTAAATGCCCAT